TCCAAATCGGTATGGAACACATGTTATGAACAAAGCAGTAGACACGCAGGCACGGGGGACCCAGCCGGGCTCCTGCCTGCAGGGAACTCCCAGTCCCAGCAGCAGAGACACAGGTAACAGCCAGCTGCGAGACAGAACAGAATGGGGTGCGTGCTTTTACCTGATAGAAACAGATCCGTGCAAGAAGCCAGAAGAGGGTTTTCATGTTGTAAGAATGGGGAACTATCTCACGTGGCCAGAGAGAGCTGGGATTTCTGAGAAGCCAAGGAAAAGGTCATAGGAAAGAAGGAGCCAGGGAGGATCTGGGAGGGAATATTGTTGGGACGAGCTATTAATGTGGATTAAAGCAGGGAGGAGTGGGAGACTTAAAGAAGGAAATCAAAGTTGGGGCCGATTGTGAAAGACTGGCTGCTTTGCTGCCCTGCATTGCACAGCCAGGAACTTTCCTGGAAATGGTCATCCTTAGAGACAACAAGAGCAAACCAGAATTTGGGTCTTAGCATTATCTTTGATTTTATTTGCTCTGTCAACATTAAAACCTTCATCTAGGAAAGCATTGTGGGTGTGAAACGAAATGTACAGCCTTAGTACCTCAATGACTTCTTTGGTAGAACTGAGCGTTCTAGAGAGAACATTCATTTGTTCAGGCCTCTAGGGTTCCATGGGGCCTGGCTACCCTTGCCCAGAGACTTGACTTCGCTCCAGAAATGGCAGACAATGCGAGAACGTGGCCTCCTGGCTAAGAAAAGCAAAGACATAATTGATATGTAGAAATAGGTATTTCCCCAAACAGGATGCAAAAGGATATCGAATCAGGTGTAGAAACCTTTCTCAGCCACGCTGCATACCAGGACTGGTGTGGGCGTGGCGGCAGCTGCCCCCTTCCCTTCCCCCCCCGACGGTCCCTTCTGTGAGCACCAGGGCTTCCCCCGCTCTGCCCTGCCTCTGTGCCCCGCAGCAAAGGCGGTCCCTGTGGCTGGCCTGCTCACTGCTCTGCAGGAGCTCCGTCCTCGTCTTTGGTCGGCATCCCTCTAATACAATAGCACGGTCACACTCTTAACATGGATTGAAAAAAAGAACTCACAGAATCTTAGCATGATTTTCAAAAGGAACAGGTCATCCAGTGCCCTTTGTAATTCTCTGAACTCTCACCCCAGAGTGCACATACTCACATAAGCCCCTTTACCCCCCACGTCCACATCAAAACTATGGTAGAATACAGTTTTTCTAATTTAGGCTACAAATAAAGGGTCACCTTGTCCCCCTGTTTTTCCTTGACTAAGAACTGTGTCACAACTATCCATAACCTGGCGCCTCCCCTTCCTGTAAATGTATGCTCAGAACTAGGGACTACTTGCTGAGGGAAATCCAAGTGCAGAAGGAGCAGTAAGGGCAGAACTCATGCTGTCAGTCTGTGGAATAGTGACCTGATATTCTAGATCTAAAGAGATCTGTCACCTGAGTTTTCAAGTGCAATAGAACAGTCTACCTACCGCCCCCCCTAGAGAAGGTCATACTTAATTTTTTTTCCATAGGGAAACAGAGGCCCACATAGGTTAAGCAGCTGACTTTTGAAAGGCACCACAGAAGCCAGAACAGGCGAACCAGGAAAAAAAATTGAGATCATCATTGTGCATGTACCCAAACCACTAAACCATGCCGATCTCAAGGCCCCTCACTAGGGAAGATAAGGATGATAGTGGTTATGGAAACTGCAAAGAAATAATAGCTTTTTTCCAGGAACTTCTTTGAATTGTATTAACTGGATGACTTATTACTACTTTACCGTCATGCCGCCTTAGTGCTATAGGACAGCATTGTTCCTGCTAAATACTGTATAAATGAGGAATGGAATCTGTAGCGCTCATTGCTTACCAGTTAACAGAAACTCCAATAGAGGTGCCACAGGGAGCCTGTGGAGAAGGGCTAATATAAACATTTCCTCTCTGGGATTCTAGGAATTCTACCTTTTGTCTAAGTTTTTGTTTTTGTTATTACCTTTATTGTGTGGCTTCTAGCTGAAGAAGAGTTTTTCTAAGTCATTCTGCTTTTCTGTTTCTTTTGTAAAATTATACTTCTCTGGTATAGCCGGCAAAATTCATCAAAATCACCACAAACGAGAGAGAAAGAACTATCTGACCTTTATGACCTGGGACAGTCATTTCAGTAGTGTGGCCTCAGGCAAGTCCAGGTCTTAGAAAAGTTGTAATACTATTTGTAATAGGAAACTTACATTTCCTAGCTGTTTAAATATGTCCTGTCCGTTGATTTTTTTTTTTTTTTTTTTTTACGTAAAATATCCAGTAAGGAACTTAAAACTCTAACCACAAGGTAATATAGTTAACAATTAAAATACTATCTTGCTTTCTGTGCCTCTGTGGACTGCATTTTTCCAGTCATATCATGGAAGGAGATACATTTAAGCTCACATAATTTTTCCTTAAAAAGAATTAGAAATGTTCCTTCGATAGAAGATGATTTAAAAGCATTGTCTGAAATCCAGGGTAGTTTTTGGTCATGCCTTCATAGATACCAAAGTATATGGGACAGATGCTGCCCTCTTGAGTAGCAGCAGGAACAAGTTCGTTGTCATTGAGCTTTAAAAAGCAAGTCAAAGTTTGCCCACACTTGAAATAAACGTGTACAAAAGGATGATAATGTCCTGTTTGTTTTCCTCGAAATCAATGGCAAGAAACTTGTCCTCAGCCATTTATTTGAGGCTGCTAAGAAAAAATAATTGATCTACTAAGGCTTAGCTCCCGGAATTTAAATAATACTTAAGTTAGCATTTGCAGTGAGAATTTGGCCTAAGGGGGTGGAGAGCTGGGAGAAGGGGGGCAGTGGGTGTGATGGGTGGTACCTCCTATTTTCTCTTTTGTCTGAGGCTGCACAGCTGGAACTAATTTCACTTCCCTCTCCCTGAACTTTAATTATTTGTCCCTGTTACAGTTCCCTGGTGTTGAAACACAAGTTTTAGCTCATGGAGTACCTCGTTCTACCCTTATTATACAGTGGGAAACACCCCTCTTCCTTTTCTAGTTTTTTTTTTTTTTTTTTTTTTTAAAGAAACATCCCCAGAGCCCCATCAAAGATTCTAGTATTTATGATATTTTAAGTTTCTTCAAGGTTCCTACCTTTACTTAGTAACATCTTTTCCAAGAGTTACATCTGGGGGTTTGATAAAATGTGTGGGCAGATGTAGCCAGGTCCTGTGGTTGCTCTTAGGATAGAAGTTTAATAAACCTGGGGCCAAGAGCAGGTTATTAAAACATGTGAGTTTTGAATCTCAAAAGGTAGAATGGTGAAATGTATTCCATCATAACTGGTCATTTTGTTCTTAATATGAAAATTAGGTGTTGTGCTGCCTTTTAAAAAAGGGCAGATGGCCAGTTTCAAATTGTTGCTGGGATAGTCTTTCCTAACAAGAGGCCTAACTTTTAAGACATATTCTCTGGTCTGGTAACCATTTTCCAAGAAGTCCATATGGCTTTCGTTAATCTCTATCCTATACCCACCACTTCTGTTCCCCACCTCCTTGCACATATACAAAATGGATTTTGATTCATTATATTCTGGAAGACATTTTCAGTAGTACCGTTTATTTAAGTGGGCTTTACTTTTTCAGCATTTCTTGTGAAAGGAATATTAATGCTTAATTCTGCTGTCGCCCGGTCTAATTTGCATATATCTGTGTTGTATGTTAAACTACATGAAACCCTACAGAGAAAAGAACTAGGCTCTGCTAACAACTAATAGCCTATCTCTTCTTTTGACTTTCACAAATTGAGAAATATTGCCTGTGGCAAACATAATGGAAAACTGCATTTTTAATGCTCCCACACACACTCATTTCTTTAAAAGGAAGAAGAAAGTGGCTGACTATTCTTAAAAATACTTCTCAAAGTACCCAGATTGACAAGGGACACAGTAAAGGAGAAGAATTTTGGCTTTTAGAATTAAGATTTGGGAATGAATAAGGTTAGGCAGAGATATTCAAGTTGATCGATGAAGACAGTTTGGGGCCGAAAATTGTGGAGAAAAAAAAAATGCTAGAGTATGTCACCCCTTCTGCTAAGCTTCTAGTTCTTCACAAAGAAGGATGTTTGCTGCTTTGATTACTTTTAGTTGCTTGAAATCTCAAAATGTTTGTTTTTAATTTAATAGCCTGTGTATAAGATAATTGATACAAGCTTTTTGATATGGAGAGAAGTTTTAACTTATTACAGTCCTTTTAGTTCACAGGGTTTTATTTACTTTTTTAACATTTATTCGTTTTTGAGGGAGAGAGAGACAGAGTGGGAGCAGGGAAGAAGCAGAGAGAGAGGGAAACAGAATCTGAAGCAGGCTCCAGGCTCAGAGCTGTCAGCACAGAGCCTGACATGGGGCTCAAGCTCACGAACCACGAGATCATGACCTGAGCCAAAGTTGGACGTTCAACTGCCTGAGTCACCCAGGCACCCTTTAGTTCACATGTTTTTAAGCTCATCTTTCCATCTATTTCTATTTGAAGAAGGGCATTCTGTCTTATGATTTAAGTTTATATTTTGTGTTAAAGTGAGACATCATGATAATTGCACAGAATAGCACAGGTTGGCTGCATTAGCAAAAACAAACTAAGTGGCATGGGAAGGAAAATGAAAAACCAAGTGCTGGAGTGAAAACAAATAGATACATCTTGTAGTATTTCCTCAACAGCAGTTTATAATTACTTCTCTTGAAGGCCTATTTTAAGTGGACTTGTAACAGTAGCTTGAAAAGTAAACTAGCAAGGGATCTAGTTGTTTAGATATGGGAGCAGAAGAAGGCAGGAGCTGCTCTGTGGAAACAGGGGCATGGCAGTTTCTCAGAGAGGAAACCTCAGTGTCTTGGCTTTTAAGGTCTCACTCAAGTCATCCATGGGAAGCTTTTGATAGCTCAGAGTTGTTTTTATACAGCACTGTATCAGTTAGCTGTTGTTACAAATTACTCCCAAATTTGCAGCTAAGACATTTAATACTCACAGTTTCTGTGGGTGAGGGAGCCAGGGGTAGCTTAGCTGGGTCGTCTGGATCTACCACAAGGTAACAGTCATTTAAATGCTCAGTTGAGAAGGATTCACTCTCTAGTTCACTCATCAGATTGTTGGCTGATTGAGTTCTTTGCACACACTTGGCTGGAAGTCTCCCTCAGTTCCTTGCCACTGGGCTCCTGCATTGAGATTCTTACAATATAGCACCTTGCTTCATGAGCAAGAAAGATAGTGCTAGCAAGAAAGAAGTCACAGTCTCTTGCAACATATTCGCAGAAATGACATCCTATGACATTTCCTGTATTCTACTCATTAGAAGCAAAAACAAACAAACAAACAAACAAAAAAACTAGGCCCAGCCCACTCTCAAGAGAATAATTGGAGCCAAGTCAAAAGCTACCTATGAAAAGCATGACGCCATTATACTCTTGCCACGTCCAGTTGGTAAACCTGTAGTGAATTGTGATGTGAATTTTGTGCATATTTACAACGCTAAATACATCTTCTAGAAGTACTGCTTTGGGGGCATTGAATGTGGTCCCCTTTATGTATCAAATTGGCTGATACGTGCTGAGCTGAGCCTACCTGAGCCCTAGGAGACCAAGAAAACAGGTTGTCAGGAATGGCTGGAGTTGGGACCCCTGTCTGAGGTTATGGAACAGACTGAAGATAAGCAGCCTTCATGGGCTTATTAGCATGATACTCGAAACACCGAAGAGCCTCAGATTACATTTCATTATGTGTTGTAACAGTTTGATTGGTATTGGCAGATCAGTAGGGGGAAAGGATCCTGTGGTATGATTTAAAAAGTTTCTATTAAGATCATGGAATGAGAGGTTGTGCTTGTTTTAATGGTCCCCCTATCCCTACTCCGAGCTTCCGGACTCCAAATGTACATTTTCAGCAATAAACTGAATAAAGAGATATGAATTTGGATTATGTGGCCAGTGTTTTAGACGGGAGTTGCATTTCACAATTTAATTTGACCAAGTCTGTTAGAAAACCATGCATGTTTATGGGGAGCCTTCAGGTCTAGCTATTCTTCATCTGTTGCTGGTTAAGACTTCTTTTTGGTTGATAACGCTCCAGTGTGGCAACTCAGGGAGGAAATGTGTTTGTGTCTTTAGTGTTTATTCAATTTTGAAAGAGCATGAGTGGTGGGGGTGGGGTGGGGTGGGGTGGGGTGGCGGGACAGTGAGGAGCTTGATTCGGGCCTCAAACTCAGGAACCATGAGATTATGACCTGAGCCGAGTTGAAAGGTCAACTAAGTGAGCCACCCAGGCACCCCAAGGGAGGAACTGGTTTAATTCCTTTGTCCCATATCCTGTTGATTGGCTTCTGCAGGCAATAAAATTCCCTCTGATAAACATGTCTGGGACACCTTCCCACTCCTAGACCAAGCTAAGGCCATGCCCAAAGCCTTGCTGGCAATTCATGCAGACCTCAGTTCTCACCCCGATCCCTTGCATGGTTCATATTTATGTCCCTGGCTGGAAATAAGTACCCGCACAAGGAGGGGGAAAGGGTGCCTTACATACCTTTTACCCCTAGTACCTAACAGGGAAGCAGGCACGTAGTAGGAGTTTTAAAGCATTTGAATGGATGGATGAAGCTGTTAGTAATTATCAGTTTTCAAATGCTCACGATTAATTTTCTAAGGAAAAGAGCATACGAAGTTAAAGATTTTATTTTAATTAAGTTAGTGTTGGCCATTATAAACTCTTGTGGCTCGGGGCGCCTAGGTGGCTTAGTCGGTTAAGCGTCTGACTTTCGCTTAGGTCATGATCTCGCGGTTCGTGGGTTCGAGCCCCACGTCGGACTCTGTGCTGACTGCCAGCTCAGAGCCTGGAGCCTGTTTCAGCCTGTGACTCCCTCTCTCTCTGACCCTGCCCTGCTCACGCTCTTTCTCTCTCTCCTAGAAATAAATTAAAAAAAAAAAAAAATTTAAAAAAAATAAACTCTTGTGGCTCTACAATTATCAGAATTAATATTACCTACCTCCTGAAACAAGACAGTCACATTTTCAGCTTTTACTCCCTCATGCCCATCTGCAACTCTTTTTTGCTCATAATTGATCCTGAGAGGATTTTCTTTATAACTTCACTTGTGATGGTTACATTTTTCAATTCCTCTGTTGTTCAGTGTTCTTAATGCTCACTCAACTGCTTTTTGTTTACTTGTGACCTGTGAAGCACTTTTGAGATACCCTTTTATCTTCAAATATTCCTAATTAATAGTTCTTTTTTAATGTAAAAAAGTGTTTTGTACATAGTATAAAGGCATCCTACATTCGTCATCCGGGGAGTATGGGGTTAAGAAACCCAGAAGCTAACATGGAATGAAGCCAGACTCTTTTTAAAATCTTACATGAAAAGTTTTTATGCCTTTTGGTTTTGTTTCTCCGTGTGGCAAATGAGGAACCCAAAGTTACCACTTACCTACCGTGTCCTACATTTCAGGTTAGCTGGAAGGGTTAAGAACTGACTGCACGAGCTCAGGTCAGAGGTTGCAGAGTTAACTGATTTAATGTCATCTGCATCGTGTACTCACGTTATATGTTTTTATTCTTTGTTCATCCATTTGTCTAAGGATTAGAGTGTAATAGCCATAGTATAAAGTGTCAGTCACGTGATTGTCAGAGCTTTTCTGGTGCTAGGAGAGAAGGATGTAATGGAGAAGTTAGAGCGGAAGAGAGGTTTAAGTAGAGCATATATTTACATGTTTTTTAAATTTTATATCCTTAATTCACAGAAGAGTGTAACTCAGCCTGTAGCCAAGGCCAACTGTCCATCTCTCAGGGCTGGTGAGAGAGCTTCAGTTTTTCCTAGACAGCTTATCATCTCTTGCTGTTTGGTTATTCCAGTGTGCCCTACAATGAATTTTCCATCCTGGATTTACAGGATTTCTCTGGCATATAAATCTGAAAGATTTGTACCAAGGCCCAAAAAGTACCCCCACTGAAGTAATTAAACACTTGATCCTGCCGCGAGCCTAAGGTGTCTTGCAGTATCTTTGGTATAATCAGTTCCTGCATGTGGCAGATCAAGTTCAGGAGGTTCCCTGTGAGTTGATCTCAGCTCAAAAATCCATAAAATGGCAGTGTAAATATCCACGTGTCACCTTTTCACACCACCTTTCATGAATAAGACATAAACCATCTCAAGAACCCATGGTTTTTCTAATGAATTGGAGTCACCTGTGCAGACTGTATTTGTGACATGCACATTTGCAGTTGGGGTCCAGAGGAAGGACACCATTTCCTGGATCAAACCACAGAGTGCAAATATTGTGCCCTAAATAACACACTAGTTACTGTAAATGTCAGTAGAGGGAGTTTTTCCGACTCTGATTTAATGAAAGCCTACAGCAAAGCCAGCTGTTAGCACTTCTTAACTGCTTGTCAGAGGGGAGAGGGGAGGGACAAAAACCTCTTTTCTGTATACTTTAGTCTTAGAATTAAGAGTTTGCAACAGGTGTTGAATAGCAAAACTAGGGGTCCTGTACAGCTTGATGTCTTTTAGGTGGTGAATTTCTAAACTCTCTAGCACAGGGATCTGGAGTTACCGGAGGAGACTGGTGTAAAATTAGTTTGGAGTTTGCATCTTGAATCCCTTGCCTATGCGTTAAGCATTTTCATTTTCTGGGCTCCCATGAGGAACCCTGAAAGATCAAAGATAAAGGAGAGAGAAAGCATACGAAACGCTGTTCCTGACTTTGTCACTAAGGGCGTTACCAAATAACTGTAAGCCATGTGAGTTTTAATTGCTGTCATCTGCATTTTTCTGAAGAAACCACTTGAAGCAAACACACAGGGAGGAAAGTATGCAGCGCTCGTTTCTGTAATTTCTGTCATTTCTAGAATGCATTCTAGTGAACATATGAGATTGTTAAGGGTCTTACCGCCCTTCGAAATCCCTTTGACGTTACGCTGTGTGTACTGAGGGGAGATAATCTTTCCAGTGCAGAGAAAGTTTGCAGTCTCATTATCTTGAAGAGGAGAAGAAAGTTTCTTCCTCAAATGAATTATAACTTGAAACATGTTGTCATGTTTTGGTAAGCCCACTTTATTACTTCCATCCTTCTCCGTGGCAAAATTTTTAAAATAAATGTACCATTGCACCATAGCGCTTTCTCAATAGCATATTGTACTTATAATAGCGTGATGGAAGTCGCTGGGCTCGGTTTAGTCATATAGAATGCAGAGCCAAGTTCTGAGTAAAACCTCTAATTGAATTACCTGCAAAGCACTGACAGACAGGCTTTCAGGACAGACAAAGCTTTGCTTTCCCCAGCAAAAATAGGTCATGTTTAAGTTGGCCTTGCAACTATTTGTTACTGGTTTTTGCCAGCACTTGCACCTTGGGCCCCTTTCCCTGCAGGAGATGCGGAGTAGGTCTATGAAGGCCGCAGGGCTCAAGCACTATCTTCTTATTTTAGAGAAAATTGATAACAGATCAAGTTAAACGGAAGAGCCTTTGAACTAAAAATCCGAAGTATTTTTCTGGAGATTACCAACATTCTTGCAGGCGTCTTGCTGTACGGAAAAGAAAAGATAGGGACAGGAAAGTAGCTCTTTCTGGCAGTCTCCATCAGAGTGGAAGATGCTTCTGTTGGTCAGGAAACCGTTTCTTGTAGACCATGTACATTTGAAAATGAAGAATAATACGTTTTTGTTCTCTCCTCTCTCTCTCTCTCGTTTTGTCTTATCCACAGCCTCCGCAATCCCAGATAATGGAAGAAGGTCCTGTCTCAAGCTCAAAGTCTTTGTGAGACCAACAAGTAAGTGGACTAGAATGAGCTTCAGAGGGTGGCTTCACTGCGCATGCTTTATTGTGTGGTCTGGTTCACAGCGGTAAAACTTTTTTTTTTTTTTTTACTGTTAAATCCTGTGTGGTATCTGTTTTGTATATCAACATCCATGTTTTAGTTTTCATCGAATTTTTTCTCATCATTCTTCATGATGCTTTTATTTTTAAGTACACAGCAGTTGCTAACTTGTTGTTTCTTAGGCTGTTGTACGTGCACAGCAAATGGGAACAATATTGGCATTTGGATACATGCCGTGGATTGTAAAACAATCTCTACGTAAATTAAAGGAAAAAATAGAAAGAAAAGAAAGACATAGAAGTTTAAGGGTGTCTTCACTAACATATTTGGCTGTTATCTCTATTTTTGTTATAGAAAGCTGTTTGAAAACTATAGGTGTTCATGATCGTGTTTTCGATGTTAACGACAAAGTAGAAAATTC